ATGGACCAGGTTTGCTGGTCTGATTGAGCCTGGTTGAACATCTGAGACTATGGCCTCTAGTTGCCCTTCACATCTGGAATTGAACCCAATTCTGTGGCTTCCAAGCCAAACAGAAGACGGCATATGAGCTGAACATTTACATTATGTGGACACACTCCTTGAAGAGATCAATCATGGGAGAATAGAAAGGCTGTGTATGCACAGGGTGACAGTGTGAGGGCCAAGAGTAGGTGATAGGGAAGGACACAGGGAAGATGTCTCTATGGGAGGAAGTGGGAGGAGAGCTGTTGTATTTGTGGGAGATTGCAGTCAATCCAAGACAAGGTGTGTATGAACTGCTGTATGGAAGGTGAATTTTTTCTGTAAACTTTCACTCATACCCCAATAAAAAAAAGAAGAGAGACCAGACTTCCTGGACTGATAAAGACTAGAAAAACCCCTGAGAGTATTGTCCTATGATATATTTTTATCTTGGAACTGAACCTACTCCTGAGGTCTGTCAACCAAATATAGGTTGGCTTATGAAATAAACAATATCACTGTGAAGAAAGTGCTCCATTACTCAACTGTATAAAACAAAAAAGTTAACATGTACCCAAAAGCAAAGAAGAAAAGACCAGAAGGGGCAGGGAAGCTAGATAAATGGAAGCAGAACAAACAGAATGGAAATAATGAGAATGGTGACACATTGTGAGAATTGTAATCAATGACTTGGAACAATCCATACAAAAAATGTTAAATGGGAACCCAATTTGCTGTGTAAACTTTCACCTAAAACACAATAAATATTCACGAGAAGAGAAAAAGATACAATCTACAGAGAGAGGGGAATATGTTATTCAAATGTCAGAGGAACTGCAGTGAATGATTTGTCTTTAGTTAATTAATTAGTGATTAACCCAGGTGTAATTTACTTATACAGGTAAGTGTCCATTCCTACATCAGTGGTGAAATCTGACTTGTCAAGGAGCATCACTGTCCATGAGGTTGAGAAATGTTCCAGTAAGACTATAGACAAATCCTTTTGTTATAGAGGCTGTTTATTCCCAGGTCATAGTACTGCAGAGTTTTACATGTTTCCACGAAATGTTGTTGCAGTGTAAGCTGTTTGCTCTTCTGCAACATGGTATGGTGAAAGTACACCTTAGGCAAGTAACGTAACATCTAAGCTTTTGGTTCTATGTCTGGAACATGAGAGTAACATTATTTTGTGGTATTTTTATATGGATCATAATAAATGCCTAAAGAATGCTTGGTACATATTGGTAATTCACTGGTTGTTTTGAAATAGCAATAAGGATAAAAACATTAATTGTAATGATGGTATTATTCCCTGTGATTGTGGATTTTTGGTAGTTAATCTTCACTTTGCCTCTCATTTTCTTAGTCCTTGATGTTTACAATCAAATTTTTAGGCAGAATACTGCCACAGGTCTGGGCGAACAGCTAATGATAGCAGTCCCCAGAGAAAAGGTATTACAGATAGGTCAGTATTAACATGGGGCAATCTACTTGCGTAGTGATACTGCCTCGGAAACCCAAGACAAGGTCGCTATGAGTTGGGTCCGACTCGACAGCACATAACAACAACAACAGGTTTATGAAGCAATGTGGGGTGGGCCTGGTAGGGCAGGACACAGTATGGGTGGGAAAGCTACAAGTATACAGTGACTTCTATATATTTAATGCTGTTGTTGAACTTGTTGTCAGCCAAAATTCAGGTTATTTTAACTGTGGAAGGAATAGGTCCAAGGTACCTTCATCTTATGCTTCAGAACTCACATCAAGGGCTTTTGTGTGTTTGTTCATGGGACCATAGCCAGAAAGATAAAATATTCTTGTAGATTAAGCTTTTTTAAAAACTCCACCAATCAAAAAAAGTCATAATTTGTTGTAATGATGCTGTAATTAAGTTGTGGTAAATGATAGCATTTGTACATTTTATAACCAGAATTGATTCATAAAATGAACACAGTCCCAGCAGTTTATGTTACCATAATTAAATGGAAATGTAATTCTTACTCAGTTTGCTTATTAAATTGAAAATTACTGGGTTATGAGCACTCTTAGATTTCTGTCTAAATTGGTGTAAGTCTAGAATTATATGAAATATCTATTAGAATAAAGCATGTTTAAGGCTCTAGTGCTCGGAAGAATAAATTTCTTACAGCACGTGCAGATTGTTCATGTGATCACACACACTTAGGTTCTCGCTAACTCCTGATCTCTTTCCTCTGCAGCCATTGGTTTAGCCCTGGGGCTAGGACAGAGCATGGCCAGGTAAGAAACATTCTAATCCCAAAGGAAGTTACTCAGGCTTTTTCAAATATTTAACTGTCCCCCTTCAGGGTAGTAGATCAGCTTTATGAGAAAGGATATAAATCCTCAGTTTATTTTAAAAGGAGTTAATTGTGCATTGCTTAATACACTGCTTAAATGAACAGTCCTCGATAAGCATCAGAGCTCTCCTTCACTGCCACCTTCCTCAGTCACGCATTTGACCTCTGTGGGAGTACTCTAGAACACAATTATTTGTCAGACTTCAGTATTTATATTGATTTATCAAAAAGTTAAGCTATCAAAATAATAAATATGCTTAAGAAATTGATTTCTAGAAACTATAAGATCAGCCAGCAAGAGACAATATTTTTCTTTGAAGTTTGTTGTTGTTGTTGTTATGTGCCGTCGAGTCGACCCCGACTCATAGCGACCCCTCCTTGGGTTTCCAAGGCAGTATCACTACGGAAGTAGGATTGCCCAACTTTCCTTCCGAGGAGTGGCTAGTGGGTTTGAACCGCCAGCCTTCTGGTTAGCAGTCAAGTGCTTTAGCCACTATGCTACCAGAGCTCCCTTGAAGTTTAGAAGGTGGCAATTTTTTTTTTTCCCAACAAGTTTACATTATATTTCTAGATGAGTTTTTTTTTTTCTTTTTTATTCTCTCATTAGTATGCATGGCAGCACAATGATTAGTGTACTTAGCAAGAACTTGACATTCATTTCAGTTAACTTTACATATGAAATAAGTAGTCTGGTTTTTTGTCCCTCTCCTTGGTTTTCCAAGGCAGTATCACGACAGAAGTAGATTGCCCAATCTTCCTTCCCAGGAGTGGCTGGTAGGTTTGAACCGCCAGCCTTCTGGTTAGCCGTCAAATGCCTTAGGCACTACACCACCAGAGCTCCCTTGAATCTACTAGCTTAGCAAAACTTCCTTTTTTCATTATCAATTATAAAACTTATTTTTTCAGTGAGCCAAAAATCATATACTTAAGAAAGTTCACCTTTAAAATGCATGGAAATGATAAATCCCCAACCAGAAAGGTTGATTTCTCAGGGGTGGCGGGAGGGAGGTGTGTAGGGAGGGGCTTGTTCAAGGTAATGTTAATTGGTTACATTGTAATATTGGTGATGTTTTATTTCTTAAGCTGGATAGCAAGTTAGCAGTGGCTTGCATATACCATAGTTCCTTTTACTTATAAAAATAAGGTGCAAAATACTTCATTATAAATTATATTTCTTAGCAGCCATTAGCATAATAAAATAAAAATATGTTGTGAATTTAGTTTTAATGATTTTTTTGGTAAACTTGCCTTTTTCCATGATAGTGATTTGCCTTTTTAAAGATAATTCTCACATTAATAATGAAATATGTAATACTATTTATATACATTTGGAAATTAACTAGTCTAAGAGAAATTACATCTGTGATATGTTTATCAATTTATTATACGGAATGCAAAAGTTAAACTTTTGCTTTCTCATATAATTCATATCCTGTGTATACTATGATGAACTCTACTATCTACGATGAGACTCTGCTCCTAGTAGCTGATTACATGAGGATGTATTTTTCTCAAAATACAATTTTTATGAAGCTCATTTTCTCCCATTCAGAATTTGATAAATACTGAAGTGATGTTATGAATTTGTAATTTAGACTACAGTATACTTGGTTGTTTGCAACCAAGCTTACTTGCAGCTAAAGATTAACTAATAGCTAATATCTTACATTGGGGAGCTCTGGTAGCATAGTGCCTAAGGCACTTGACTGCTAACCAGAAGGCTGGCGGATCAAACCCACCAGCCACTCCTTGAAAGTAAGGTTGGGCAATCTACTTCCGTAGTGATATTGCCTCAGAAACCCAAGGAGGGGTTGCTATGAGTCGGGTCCGACTCGACGGCACATAACAACAACAACATCTTACATGGTGGCACGGGGGTTAAAGGGCTTGGCTGCCAACCAAAAGGTCAGCAGTTTAAATCCACCAGCCGCTCCTTAGGAAAAAGATGAGGCAGTCTGTTTCTGTAAAGATTTGCAGGCTTGGAAACCTTACTGGGCAGTTTTACTCTTTCCAGTAGGCTTGTTGTGAGTTGGGATCAACGTCATGACTATGGGTTTGGTTTTTTTGGTATTTTTACATTAGCCTTTTACTTCAACTTTGATATGCCATCACAAGTTTTTATTTTGACTAGACAACTTGTTAATAAATATATATGTATACAAATAGACATATTTTCTATTTTGAGGGATAATAATGCCTTTGTTCAACTTAGACCTAACTATTGACAATGATTACAGTACAGTAAAGTATTGGCTAAACCTAGGTTCAGATGATGAAGTGCAAGACAATGAAGAAATATAAACTGTTACAATATATTATTGAATGAATGATGAAAGCATGCATGATCTCCCATACCAACTTGTCAACATAGAGAAATGATAATAATATTAACTCAACTTCTTTGAAATCCTACCCCTTCCTGTTGTCTCTTCTTTAGTGCTAATCCCCTTTTCCAATCTGTGTGTAGTGACCATTCCTTTTATTATCTGTTGGGAACTATGCTAGATGTTAAAGATTTTTACATGAAACAACATAGCCTTTTCCCTCATGTGGTTATAGGCCCAACGTGGCGAAACCAGTCATTAATTGTAATTGATACATTGGTATTGATACATGTTTGAGAAAACTGTAGAGAGGTTTTCACTATGGAGACCACAAAGTAGAAATATGAGAGTCTGTGCCGGGGTAGAAGAGAAGAAGGAGAGGTAGCTATATGACCATCCTGTGTTTTTTTTCCTGGCATTTTTTTTTAATTTGAAGGCTTTGTCTTCTTGAACATCCTACAGTTTGCCATTTTGACTGAATGTACAAGTATCTAAAGGAGTCATAGTTCATAGTTTAAAGTACTTAGTTCTTCTTTTAAGGTTGAAGACACTGAGAAGCAAAGTGTGAAGAGATCTGAACTCATTTTGTAGACATTCAAGGAGACATCTGAAAACTGACACAATCCTGAGCTGGAATGCTTTAGGACTGTGATGTAGTGAAGAGATGATTCCTGTGGAATAAGAATTCTGCTCTTTGTTCTTACATTTGGGATCTGAGACTTTTAATAAATCTTGCAAAAATATCACGAATAGCCACAGAAATTCTTGCACACTTTCTAGAACAGCCAAAATCATTATACACAAAAAATGGTGTTCTTAAATTATATGCCGCTTGCAAACATCATATTGGACTAGGTTTTGTGTTTGGCTTTTAATGTAATTCTTATATGAGACATATTTTAAATATACATCTACAGGTCACTAATAAGGGAATTGTATCTCTGTTTGGCCTAAGTCCAGCAGCCTGAAAGTTGGAAAGTAAGAAGCATTTCACACCATATTCAGAAGTTTTATTTTTAATTAGATTTGACTTTATTAGAGTCAGAACCTTGAGAAGTGATGTCACTTGTAACACTGATAGGAGTCCAAGGAGACAGAAAAGTTGACAATAAGAAGAGTTTCTTAAAACCTGATGAAATACCCTTTCTTATTAGAGCAGGGTGCCTTTTTTTATTGGGAATTTATGACCCAATATCCTTTTTTCCTCTCCGCCTCCCCCTGTAGTACTTTGGAGCACAGGAGAAACATTTTGGATCTGTTTTGAATAAAATCATATGTTTGTATTGTTCTTATAACATTTACAAAAAGGGTAGGGAGGCCACATATTCTGACCTCCTCTAATCCCGCAAGAGGAAGACAGGATTACCATCAGCAACCCAAGGCCTATTCCTGCCAGGCCAGACATGCTGCCTCCCTCCAGCCCTTTCTCCAACCTTTCCTCCCAAAGCACCCACCACCTCTCTCCTGGGTTCGATAATTCGCTGCAGTGACCACACAGAACTCACAGATTACAGGGTTTATTAGGGAAGCACCAGGCTACAACTCAAGTTCAGGAAGAACACTCAGTCTCTCTCCCAGCCCACGGTCCCTCAGCCAACAGTCTCTCACAGTCTCTTTCCCAGCAGTGCTGGTCCCTCAGTATCTCACTCAGCAATGCATGTCTCTTGCATCTCTTTCCCAGCATCACGTGTCTCTTTCAGGGGTGCATGTCTCTTTTGGCAGCAAGTCTTCCTCAACCAGCAGTCAGAGAGTTCTGCCTCCAGGAGGCCTCCTTTTGAGCCCAGCAGGGTGGTCAAACTAGCCAATCATAGCATCAGAACTCTAAGCACGTGAGAGAGAGTGGGGACCTCCCAGAACATCATATTGTGCCACGCCCAACAGAAATACTCCACGTGGATAACATTTACAGTCAGGAGCTCCTCAGTTGCTCATTCCACCACTGAGTTTACAATGACTTATGGGTAGAAAAGCCATACTAAGTAATTCACTACACTGCAACAGTCTAGATTAAATTTTCTATTTCAACCCATGAAAGGATGAAGGATCAAATATTAACTCATCAGATTCATGACCCAGAGATAAAAGTCTATATTTTTATCTAAGTTTGCCTTTAAAGTTACAAAGGTAACATAATAATATTGGTAAAAAAGATAAATTCTGTGGTTTGGTTTTGGTATAGGTGCATTGTATTAAGTTCCAATATTTGTCTGTTTTTCTGTACAAAGACCATTAGAACTACAAATTTGAGGAGGAGAACAGTTCCTCATTGAGCCTAATAAAAGGAAGTTTAACATTACAGTTCAGAGAATGTGCTATCTCATTCAGTTTTGTCTGGGTGGTGGCCTTTCAGTGAATTACCCAGCCTAATATTTATATTAAAACCAAAATCTAAAACCATTGCTACCGAGTCAATTCTGACTTACAACTATCCCCACTGGGTTTCCAAGGATGTAAAACTTTGTGAAAGTAGATTGCTTCATCTTCCTCCCATGCAGCAGCTATTCGAACTGCCTAATTAGGTTAGCAGCCTAATGCCTTCACCACAGTGCCACAGCGGAAGGAAGGTTGGGCAATCCACTTCCGTAGTGATAATGCCTTGGAAACACAAGGAGGGGTCGCTATGAGTTGGGTCTGATTCGACGGCACATAACAACAACAACAACAATATTTATTTTGGTCATTATAGTTGTATTTGAAAAATAAACTATTCAGTTCTTATTTAGGACATTGCGTTTTAGATTTTCAGTTCTTTGTTTTAACTATTTTAACAGAAGTATAGAATTAGTATTCAAATATCTGTCTTTTAAAATTAGGAAAGTTATTTATTTAAGTTATACAGAGATTTCATTACGTTATCTCTAGCTATCTGTGTCACAAATGTTGGTTTGTATATATTTTTTTAAGAAAGGTACTAGACCTAGAAGTGCCAAAGTAATTAATTTCTTTTTTTAATTTTCAGAAACAATTTAGTGTTCATGGTATGAAGTGTTTCTAAATTGAAACACTTTCAGATTAATGGACTTAAGATAAATGGGTGCTATTTCCTATAAGTAGTAATAATGAGATATGGCTTCAGCTGCATATCAGATACCAAATCTCACTCCCCATTTCCTTATCTCATTTATTCATTCAACAAATATTTATTGAGCACTAAAAAGGTTCCAGACACTGTCCAGGACCCTGGAAATGGAATCAGATTGAATAATATAGCAAAGGGCCAGAGGTGAATAGGAACATGGTATGCACCTCAAACTAAAATGTTCAATATGGCTGGGGTACATAATTTAGAGGTAAGGGGGTTTGGTTGGGAGTGACGGAGTAAGCATAATAAATTGCATATTTAGAGATCATCAAATTATGAAGGGCCATGAAAGCCATCTATAAGATTTGGGGCTTAATCTGAAGAAGAAAAGGAAATTACTGAAGAGTTTTTAAGAAAGTGAGTGATACAATCAGATCTACATTTTAGAAAGATCACTTTGGCAGCAGTGTGGAGAATGAATTAGATAGGAGCAACTGTGGAGGCAGGAAGGCAATTTAGGAAACTGTAACAGGTGAGAGAAAATGATGGTCTGGATTAGGATCATGAAGTAAGGATGGAGAGGAGTGTATATTTAAGAGAAATTTAACGTGTACTCATTTAAATCATTGTTTTAAGAACGGACCTTATTCAAGAATGATCTAACCACATTCTTGGTGAATAAGGTCCATTCCTTCTCAAAGATAGCCAAATGATGCTAATTAAGAGATTCTAAATGATGTCATTAAGTAGCTCGAAATAGTTGCCTTTCACTGAAGGTTATTGGTATTAATACTGTTCAGACAGTACCCACTGATACCCATGCTCACTACTTATAATGATGATAATAGTCATAATTGTAGCATTTGAGTTGTTTTCTTAGCATTTTCTCAAGGCCAGTCACAGAGATCTTTTTTACTTCAGCAGCCTTATAGGTGGATATTATCGTTATCCCCATTTTACAGATGGAAACTGGGATTTAGAGAGGTTAAGTACTTCATCTAAGCTTGTACATGATGTTACTGGAATTTATGACTTGTTAGTTACTAGCACAGTTGGGATTAGAACCAAAATCTATCCTGTGTTACTATTTCTAAGACTTTTACTTTTTTAGTGTTAAATTCTAATATGCTACACAACTACTTCTTAAACTAGTCTCGCATATAATCATATTTCTGCATAAATAAGATAAGCTACTGTTTGAGTGAACACGTAGTAAAGAGTATTGACTATTTGTTTTTGTCTTTCTAATTAGTTAGGGTAAAGCAAGTGTGAAGGGAAATGGATGCTAAGCCATTTTGAGGAAGAAATGAAATACATATATTTTGTAATTATGTATTTCCAAGCCAATAATTTCTTTGAAAAAGAATGTTTTAAGTGTGTTCCTTTTCCTTGTTTGGCCAGTATGGACAGAGGAAATACTGTTAGCTTGTTTATATCGGTGTAGTTGACAAGGCTTTTTTTTAAAAAAAAAAAAAAAACCTCATGGATGTATACAAGGATTAGAATGAGGTCTAGCCCTCCAGGACCAGGCTGTATATTAACTGTCTATGAGACCAGTTGAACTATGAACAAAACACTCAGTAGCCAGCTCTTCCTAGCAGTTTTGCAGGACAACATTGACATCTCTAGCAAAGGTAGTAGTGTTTCTGTTAGGAGAAACCAGTAGAAAAAAGTAATGCAAGTAAACTCTTAGGGTCCATTTGAATGAGAATGTTTTTCTACTTGCAGAATGATATAATGAAAATATCTCTGTTTCTACATCTTTGTCTTAACACTTTGTGTAGCATCAGCTTCTGAGAGATAACCGAGCTGAAAGAGGACACAAGAAAAACTGTTCTGTGAAAACAGCCAGCAGGTAAGCAGTTCAGAATCACATTTAATTCTCATTAAGTCATGTGTCATTTTTTCCATACATATATAAATGTGAATTGCTACTTTGGTTGTCTTTGATTTTAAAGGCTTGTTTAAAATATTTTATGTGATACTTATTAGAATATATTTCAAGTTCATTAATAATGGATAGAAAGATACTATTTTGTTTATATTTAAATAAAATGGTGAAGAATAAAGAGTGGATTTTAAAAAGTAAAGAATAATTTGCTTTCTTATACTAATGTAAAGAATCAGGATTTAGAATAATTATTTTATTTTTAAATTAAAAAACACTAGAGTTGATCTTTTTTTAATCCCTTTTTTTAAATTTTTTTATTGTGACTTGTGTGCAGTTTTACAAAGCAGCTTTGTTTTACATTCAACAACTAATCCACATTTTATTTAATAACACTGATTACAGTTCCCACAGGATAATAGCTCTCCTCTCATGTTTTTGTCCATGTCTTTGCTATTGTGAATAGTGCTGTAGTGAACATGGCTGTGCATGTATCTACTTTATCTATTTATGTCCTGGATCTCACCTCTTTAGGACATGTTCCAAGTAGTGGGATTGCTGAATTAAATGGATTTTCTATTTCTAAATTTTTAAGGAAGCTCCATACCGTTTTCCACAGTGGTCATACCATTATATAGTGCGACCAGCAGTGGATGAGAATTACCGTCTCTGCGTATCCTCATCAGCGTTTGTTGTTTTCTGTCTCATTGCACTTTGCTGTTATTGGCTGGGGTGAGATGATGCCTCATTGTCATTTTGATTTGAATCTCACTAAGGAGCTCTGGAAGGAGCTCTGGTAGCATAGTGCCTAAAGCACTTGACTGCTCACCAGAAGGCTGGCGGTTCAAATCCACCAGCCACTCCTCGGAAGGAAGGTTGGGCAATCCTACTTCCGTAGTGATACTGCCTCGGAAACCCAAGGAGGGGTCGCTATGAGTCGGGGCCGACTCGACGGCAAATAACAACAACAACAACAAGGAGCTCTGGTGGCATAGTGCCTAACGCACTTGACTGCTAACCAGAAGGCTGGTGATTCAAACCCACCAGCCACTCCTCGGAAGGAAGGTTGGGCAAACTACTTCCGTAGTGATACCGCCTCGGAGACCCAAGGGGTCGCTGTGAGTTGGGGCCAACTCAATGGCACATAACAACAACAACAATATGGGCTAATTATCACGACTTGTTCATGTGTTTGTTGGCTACTTGAATATCTTCTTTGGTGAAGTGTCATTCCATGTCTGTTGCCCATCTGTCAGTTGAATTGTTTGTCTTTTTGGTGTTGAAGTGTTGAAGTTTTCTGTAAATTTTAGAGATAGACCCTTGTTGGATAATTGCTAAACATTTTTTTCCTATCTGTAGATTCTCTTTTTACTCTTTTGGAGAAGTCTTTTCATGTGTGAAAGAATTTAATTTTTAGAAGGTCCCAGTTAGCTTTTTTTTTTTGTACATTTTGGCTTACACTTTATAGTCTATTTATGCCCTAAATGAGGGCCTCTAAGTTTGCCCCTAGGGAGCTCTGGTTGTGTAGTGCCTAAGGCACTTGACTGCTGAAGGCTGGTGGTTCAAACTCACTAGCTGCTCCTCAGAAGGAAGGTTGGGCAATCTACTTCCGTAGTGATACTGCCTCAGAAACCCAAAGAGGGGTCGCTATGAATCGAGTCTGACTTGACGGCAGAAAACAACAACAACAAAATTTGCCCCATTTTATCTTTAATGAACTTTATAGTTTTGGGTTTTACATTTGGTATTTAATCCATCTTGAGTTCATTTTTATGTGTGGTGTAACGTATGGATCTTGTTTTATTTTTCTGCAAATGGATATCTAGTTTTGCCATCACTATTTATGAAAGAGCTCTCTCTCCCCCATTGAATGGGTTACTGCACTTTGTCAAAGATCAGCTGTCCATAGATGGATGGATCTATTTCTGGATTCTCAGTTCTGTTGCTCTGGTCTATGTGGCTATCACTGACTGCTGTGGCTGTATAGTTGGTTTTGAGACTGGGAACTGTGAGATCTTCTACTTTTTTTTTTTTCCTTAAATAGTGCTTTGCTTATACAAGCTCTCTTTCCTTTCCATATAAAATTAATGATTGGTTATTCCATGTCATTAAGGATTGTTTATAGAATTTGGGTGCAGATTGCATTGAATTTATATATTGCTTTGGTTTGTATTGATGTTTCACAGTATTCAGCCTATCCATGAACATGGCATGTTCTTTCATTCATGTAGGTCTCTTATAGTTTCTTGTAGTAGTGTTTTGTAGTTTTCTTTGTATAGATCTTTCGTGTCCCTGGTAAGATTTATTCCTAAGTATTTTATCTTTTTGGTAGCTGTTGTAAATGGTATTGTTTTCCTTATTTCCTTTTCTGAGATCTCTTTGTTGATGGACAGAAATCCAGCTGATTTTTGTACGTTGATCTTGTATCCTGCTAATTTGCTGAATCTTTCAATTAGTTCCAGCAGTTTTCTTGCTGAATCTCTTTGTTTTTCTATGTATAGGATCATGTCATCTGCAAATAGAGATAGTTTAACTACTACTTTGCCAATCTGAATGTCATTTATTGCTCCTTCTTGCCTTAATGCCCTGGCTAGGACTTCCAGTACAGTGTTGAGTAGAAGTGGAGATAGAGGGCATCCTTGTCTCATTCCCATTTGCAAGGGGAATGCTTTGAGTCTCTTTCCGTTGAGATTAATAATGTTGGCTGTTGGTTTTACATTGTTGTTGTTGTTGTTGTTATGTGCCGTCGAGTCAGCCCCGACTCATAGCGACCCCTCCTTGGGTTTCCAAGGCAGTATCACTACGGAAGTAGGATTGCCCAACCTTCCTTCCGAGGAGTGGCTGGTGGGTTTGAACCGCCAGCCATCTGGTTAGCAGGCAAGTGTCTTAGCCACTATGCTACCAGAGCTCCCTGGTTTTGCATATATTCCCTTATTATGTTGAGAAATTTCCCTTCTATTCCTATTTTGCTAAGAGTTTTTATCCGGAGTGGGCGCTGGATTTTATCAACTGCCTTGTCTGCATCAATTGAGATGATTATATGGTTCTTTTCCTTTGTTTTATTTATGTAATAGATTACATTGATTGTTTTTCTGATGTTGAGCCATCCTTGCATTCCCACTTGTTCATGGTGTGTTTTTTTTTTAAATACAGATTTTGATTTTATTGTCTAGGATTTTGTTGAAGATTCTTATGTCTATACGTCTATATTCATTAGGTATATTGGTCTGTAGTTTTACTTTTTAGTGGTGTCTTTACTTGGTTTTGGTATCAATATTATGCTTGTTTCATAGAATGAATTTGGAAGTATTCTGTCCTTTTCTATGTTTTGTAATAGGTTGGGTAAGTTGGGTGTCAGCTCTTCTCTGAACTTTTGATAAAATTCTCCAGGACTTTAGTGTGTGGGGAGTTTTGTTTTTTTGTGTTTTTTTTTTTTTTTATGACTTGCTCAGTTTCTTCTGTTGTTGTAGGTCTGTTCAACTTTTCTGCCTCAGTCTATATTTAGGTAGGTCTTGTTTTTCTAGCTAGAGCACCCTGATGGTGTAGTGGTAAAGGCATTTGGTTGCTAACCAAAAGGTCAGTGGTTTGAGCCCATCACTTACTCTGTGGAAGAAAGATGAGGCAGTCTATGTCTGTAAAGATTTACAGCCTTGAAACCAATGAGGGTCACTATGGATCAGAATCTACTTTGTTGGCAGTAGGTTTGGGTTTTTGGTGTTTCTAGAAATCTGGCCATTTCTTCTAGATTTTGAATTTATTGGAGTACAGTTCTTTATAGTACCCTATTATTCTTTTTATCTTAGTTAGTTCTGTTACGATGTTGCCCTTCTCATTTCTCATTTGTGCTATTTGCATCTTCTTTTCCTTAGTTAAATTTGCCTGTGGTTTGTTGATTTCTTAATCTTTATCATTTCCTTTATTCTGGAGACTGTAGGCTTCTTTTGCTGCTCTTTTTCTGATTGTTGGACTTACTAGGTTAAGGTACTGATTTTGGTACTTTCTTCTTTATTGATGTGTGCATTTTTTGCTATCAATAGACCTCTGAGAATGGCTTTTTCTGTGTCCTAAAGGTTTTGGTGTGTTATGTTTTCATTCTTATTTGTTTCTAACAACTTTTTTATTTCATCACTTACCAAGTAGTTCTTGAATGGTGAGTTATTCAGTTTCCATCTATTTGATTTTTTTCCCTCCAGTCTGCTTATTATTGATGTCTAATTTTATAGCATTGTGATCCAAGAAGATGCTTTGTAGTATCTCAGTATTTTTAAATTTATTGAGGCCTTGTTTTGTGGCCTAGGAAATGGTCTATTCCAGAGAATGATCCATATGCACTGGAAGAGGATGTATATTGTGTTTTGGTTGGGTCGATTGTTCTGTATGTCTATGAGGTCAAAGTGGTTGGTTGTGTTGTTGAGATTTTCTGAATCTTCATTGAATTTTTTGCTAGTTGTTCTTTCATCGGAAGTGGTGTGTTAAAGCCTTCTTCCACTCTAGTAGAATTGTCTTTTCCTCCTTTCAATTCAGTTAAATGTTTGCTTTATGTATTTTGAAGCTCTTGCATTAGGTGCGTAGATATATTTTGGTTTTGTACTCTTTATTTTTTATGGTTTTGTATTCTTGGTCAGTTGACCCTTTTGTCGTCATTCCTTGTCCCTAATGCTGGTTTCATGTTGAAGCCTATTTTACCAGAAATTAATATTGCCACTCCTGCGTACTCTTTTTGGGTTGCCATGAGCTTGGTATGTTTTATTCCATGCCTTGATTTTTAATTTATTTTTATCTTTGTGTCTAAGGTGAGTCTTTTGTAGTCAGCATATTGATGAGTCTTCCTTTCTTGTACAGACTGCCATTCTCTTTCTCTTGACTGGTGCATTTAATCCATTCACATTCAGGGTAATTAATGCTAGGTATCAATTTACTGCTGTCATTATTTGGTATTTTTTATTGTCGTTTCTTTGTTCCAGATA